AGAAATAAAAATTTATTGCACAGGCTATTTGCTATTTTATAGTCAAGTGGCTGAAAGGTCAAACTCACTATAAGACGAGTGGCAGTGGATCTAATAACCCACTTACCCAACCAATATCGCATGTATGGATTGATCACATGTGTGAATTAAAGTCCAGTTACCCGAATCAAATCCATATACAGATTCAGATTTGAAATGGATCCGACCAAATTATGCCCCTACGACCGACAAACTTACTAGTGTGCAAGGCCGAGATATGAAACTTTATGAAATATATTTGTGGGCTAATTATATATTATTATATGTAGTTAATTATCTTTAGTATCTCGGTCCCTATACTTTAAAAAGTTATATTGACATCTCTATAGTCGCAAATGTGAAATATCTAGATTCATTTATTCTAATAACATCGGTTTTACTAATGAAAACATGAAAACAAAAAATTAAAAAATAATTTTAATATTTTGACCGATGGTGGTAAATGGTTATACCGTTGGGGATCATAGATGACTATCGTGAATAAGAAGAGAGACGGTGAGAGATGAGGATCACTTTACATCTATGTCGACGCTAACGCAGTTGCTAAGTTGCACCTTTATCACTACTGATACGGATGCCGAGCGACCCTTTTGTTGCTCAACAATTGCATTGATGCCAACGTAGCTGCAGAGTGGCTCTCACCTTTTGTCATCGCTCTCCTCATCCATAACAGTCATTCACGACCCCCATCGATGTCATCGTCAGCCACCATCTTATTAATAATAGAGATAATATGGATGTTAATATAACTAATCTACTTATACCAGTAAACAAAAAAAAATAATCTAATGTATTTTTTTCTCTAGTCTATTGCTTGGTCTTAAATTATTTGATTAAGTAATTATATTTCATTTGATGAAATAATGTTGATAAGACTTAATTACTTGGATGATGTCAATATCATGGGGAATTATGTATATGTTTCTAAGATAATTTTCATGTTAAGATGGACCCCCACGGACAGGTGTAGCGTTGAACTGCCTCCTCAGCCTTGACAGTGTGCTGTAGCTCTTCCTCTTTCGACATCTCTTTCTTCTCCCTCTCGATCCTTGCTATATATTCTCTTCCTCCTAACCCTCCATCGTTGCTCTTCCTACTTCTTGTTCTTCTTCTTCTTCTTCTCTGTGTACATATATACACACGTAGATATTGTTCCTTTGGATCCCAATGACCGAAGAAACCCAGCCCATGGCCACCGAAGCTGAGCCGACCGCGACGGAGGAGCTAAAGAAGGCGGGGGCTGAAGAGAAGAAGACAGAGACCGACGAGGTTGCGCCGCCCGCAACGGCGGAACCAAAGAAGGTGGAGACTGAAGAGAAGAAGACAGAGGCCGAGGAGGTTGCGCCGCCCGCTGACGCCGCCGCCGCCACCACCGTGCCGCAGTCCGCCTCTTTCAAGGAGGAGAGCAACGTTGTTGCCGACCTCGTGGACCGCCAAAAGAAGGCCCTTGACGAGCTTAAGCAGCTCGTGCAGGCTGCTCTTGCCAATAACGAGTTCAGCCCGCCTCCGCCTGCCGCCGCTCCCGCCGCCCCGGCGGATGTGCAGCCCCCGGTCGAGAAGGATGAGAAGGAAGGCAAGCCCGCGGAAGTTGTCACCGCTGGTTCTGCCGACGAACCGAAGACGCTGTCTGAAGAACCTCCCAAGCTGCCCGAACCCGCTCCGGAGGTGGTAGAGGAGCCCGCTGCACCGGTAAAGGAGGAAGCTTTGCCTCCCCCTCTGCCAGCCTCTGCGGGGGATGAGGACGGCGCTAAGGCGGTGGAAGCCGTCGAGGAAACTGTTGTTCCCGTTTCTGGTCTGCCTCCGGCCGCCGAGGAGGGCCCTCCTGCAGTAGAGGAGGCAGCGAAGGAGCCATCCGCTGAGGCCCTTGCCACAGCTCCAGTGGCGCATCCAGAGGAGGTGTTCATCTGGGGCGTCCCCCTCGTCGGTGACGAGAAGAGCGACACCGTCCTTCTCAAGTTCCTCCGCGCCCGTGACTTCAAGGTGAAGGACGCCCTGGCCATGCTCAAGGACGCCGTCATCTGGAGGAAGCAGTTCGGCATCGAGGCGCTCCTCGAGGAGGACCTCGGCCTGCCGGAGCTGGACAAGGTGGTCTACACCCACGGCGTCGACAAGGAGCGCCACCCCGTGTGCTACAACATCTACGGCGAGTTCCACAATAAGCAGCTCTACGAGAAGGTCTTCGGCGACGCGGAGAAGAGGCAAAGGTTCCTCAAATGGAGGATCCAGTATCTGGAGAAGGGCATTAGGGAGCGCTTGGACTTCACTCCCGGTGGGATCTCCTCCATGGTCCAGGTGACTGATCTCAAGAACTCGCCCCGCCTCGGGAAGCATCGGCAGGTCACGAAGCAGGCCGTCACCCTGCTCCAGAACAACTATCCTGAGTTCATCGCCAAGAAGGTAACTCCATATTAGCATAAAAACCACATCTTTATCATACCCTCTGTTATGTCGAGCATATCTGCTTGTGAATCGAATGTATGGGTGCCGAATTGTCAGGTGTTCATCAATGTTCCATGGTGGTACTTGGCTGTCAGTAGAATGATGAGCCCGTTCTTCACACAGAGGACCACAAGCAAGTTCGTCTTCGCCGGGCCATCCAAATCAGCTGAGACACTCTTCAAGTCTGTCAATAAAGAATGTCTCAGACCCTGTAGGGTGTGAGCTTCTCTTGATTGTTCATGTTGTTGGTGCAGATACATAGCACCTGAGCAGGTCCCAGTTGCATTTGGAGGCCTCAGCAGAGACAATGACCCCGATTTCACCTCGGCTGAGGCTGTTGTCGATATCACCATTGGGCCTTCATCCAAGGAATCCATAGAGATACCGGCTACTGAGGTAGATTTATGCTCTCTTTAGGATCATATGATTGATTGAGATAACACCTCGTATGCAATTTGGCAGACATGCCTTCTTGTCTGGGAACTCCGAGTTCTGGGATGGGAGGTGGGCTATGGTGCTGAGTTCAGGCCGAACGCGGAGAACGGATACACGGTCATTGTGCAGAAGACTAGGAAGTTGGTCGCCGACGACGAGCCAGTAATCAGAAGCTCTTTCAAGATCAGTGAACCCGGTAAGGTCGTCCTCGACATCGGAAACCTGACATCCAAGAAGAAGAAGCTCCTTTACAGATACAAGGTGAAGAGCTCCACCTAAAGAGCTGCTGCTTAATTGGTTTGTATGTGCTGGTTTTGTTTGATCACATAAGCTTGGCTGTGTTGGTTTCTAAGATAGTTCATGAGACATTAGCTCTTGAGCTCAAAAACTGGAAGAGGGGTTATTGCTGCTCATCATCAACCTTTAAACACCAAACTTGCATCCTAAATGCTGAACTTGTCTTTTGATTGATACATTGTGTCTCATCTGCCGGTGTGATCCTGACAAGTTCTACAAATATTTCTGGTCTGCTAGCTACCATTTGGTCTTCCACACTGGCTTGCCATTTCCAGTTCACAGAACAGCAGGAACAACACAAACAAGAGGGATTGGCCTCCTTGTTCCTGTCAAAGAGAAGGTGCCACTTTGTGATGTGGACAAGGAGAAAGACAGTGTACATATGTGAATCCTATGTTTGCTAAAAGACTTGGTTGCATGTGTGACCTCTCATTTGCCCTCTGTTGCTAAAAGGCTTGAAGCTGTCATTGGCAGGAAACATGAGTGTGTTAATGAAGCAAGTTGGACATGGCTGAGTTTATTCTTCCATCTGTAAGGTTATCTCAATTCTACCATTCCGTAGCCAGTGATTTGGACAGCACAAGGCTTTGTTCTCTGCTTTTTCTGATGTCATCAACAAATGAAAACCATGTCTCTGGTAGACAAGTATGATGCTGGTAGTTGTGGGAGATTCTTCAAGAATTCAATCTTCTGGTGATATCCTTCACTAGTTTTGTATGGTGCACGAAGCTGAAAAGAACAGGTGGATTAAAGAAGAAAATAAAGAGAACAACTCGAAGAATTTGTCAGCAAACTTCTGCTCTTGCCTTGATTCCATCATAACCTACTGAAGTTAGCATTTGAAGTCTGAAGTCCTGATTCCACAATTAAGAGGAAGTTGGAGGATAAATATAATCCCTAACAATAAATGGTTTCTTATTCAAGTTAATCAGGTTTAGAACACCAATTGATTTAATTAAACTGGAAAAAAAAAGTAAGATATTTTAGTTCAAATTAATTTGTGCCATCAGTTAATGTATTAATCATTGTTTCTGTAGACTAATTATATATTACCCATACCTCCTTAATATTTCAGTATTTATACTTAAAAAAATTATATTGAAATCCCTATAGTTATAAAAAGTGAAACAACTAGTCTTATCCTAACATCATTGGTTTTACTAACGAAAACAGAAAAATAAAGAGCAAAAAGATGATTTTAACGTTTAAGTTGATGGTGATAAACGACGGCATCGTTGGGGGCCACGAGTAACTATTATGGATAAGGAAAACAGTGACGAGAGATGAAGACTGCTTTGCATTTGCGTCGACACTAACGTAGTTGCCGAACGGTCCTTTCATCGCTCGACAATTATGTTGACACTAACATAGATAAAGAGTGACGAAAGGATTGCTCGGGAGGCTGCTGTAAATGAGGGGAGTGACGACGAGAGGTGAGGGCTGCTTTGTATTTGTGTCGACATCGACCAGATGCAGAGTGATTCTCATCTCTCGTTGTCGCCCTTCTCATCCACAACAACCACTCGAGTGGCCATTTCGTTGCTCTACATCTAGCATCAACATAATTGTCGAGCAACAAAAATATCATCGATGCAGATGCCGAGCAACTCTTTCGTTGCTCAACAATTGTATCGACATCGATGCATATGTAGAGTGGTCCTCACCTCTCACCTCGTCGCTCTCCTCATCCACAACAGTTACCCGTGGCCTCAGTGGCACCATCATCCACCACCATCAACGTCATCCACTACCACCAACTGAAATATTAAAATTATCTTTTTACCCTTTGTTTTTATGTTTCCGTTAGTAAAACCAACGATGTTAGAATAAATAAAGTTAGATGTTTCACTTTCATAATTATAAAAATTTTAATATAATTTTTTTAATTATAAAAACGGAGATACTAAAGAGATCTAGCTAATTAGCCCCTGCAATATCCTTAAAAAAAATAACTGCCGAAGATTTTTGATTAGCAGTCGTTTTCTGTGTTTCATACACATTATGACCTTTCCTTTGAAGTGATCAGATTGGGAACAAAAGATAGCTCTTATCCTTTTGTTTCTCTGATTGGTATATAGTTCCTTCAACATAAAATGGAGTTGTCTTTTTTTGTGTATATACCTCAGGAAATCTTTTTTTGTAAGCTGTGTGCATCACAAAGGAGCTGCTAAAATCTCTGACACTACTTAGGAATTCAATGTAATTAAGTCACCAAGTTGCTCATTCTACACCAACCTGGAACTCTTCCTTGTCCAGATCAGTACACTGCTTTAAATGATTTAGGACAAACCTCACCTTCATGTCCTCTTATAAGCTCAAAGAACATGATTCTGCTTGTTTGAGCTCTGAGCAGAACTAAAGCTCCTCATTTCTGAGATCTGCCAGTTCATGTGATGTGTCTCAAGAGTTGGAACTGAAGACAAGAAAGTGAAAACACCTCATGTGGCTTTCACCTGTTGCCAAGAGGCTACATAATTCAGCTGGTAGATATTGTGCCACTCAAAATTGCTTGAACAAATCCAGTGGCAAACTAAATTCAAGTCCTTCTGGTAGTTTAACTTTATTTTCATAACTCTCTTTTTTTCAGAGGAAGGTAATTCAGCCATTCAGGTAGTGAATAAATGCTTACACATGGAGTCTTTCCGATGTAAAGTAGAATGACCATCATTTATTCTGTTCAAGAGCTTGCACATGTTGCATGGATACTCACCAGGAATTGAGTTAGTACAAGGAACAAGCCTCATCAGTGTTCAGATTCCACCTATCATCTGATCCAGTAGTGTCATCTTATTAAACTTTAGCACCTGCACAATGATAAGGTTGCTCTTTTGTGAAAATCAGGGTTTGCATCTCAAAAACATCCTCTATATATAGATATAATGTTGCATCTCAAAAACAACATGAGAAAAAACTTCCGATAGTAAGATTTTATCATTGTACTTGAGATTATGCCCCATAAATTGAGCATATATTGACTTCATCACTGTCTCGAGGATAGACTGGTTTAGTCTTACCAAAGCACTATGACATGTTCTGTGCCCTATCGACTTCACCATTGTATCGAGGATATACAGGTTTAGTCTTACTGAAGCACTATGACACGTTCTACCCTACGATATCTAGATAGCATGTCTGGACCTTGCAGATCAGAACTAAGAAACGAATCTCAAACACTATTTTGAACCAAATTTGATAATTTCCAGGAAAATGACAGGATTTTGCAAGTTAAAAATTAGTGAACACGATCACTAAAAATATGTATGCATATGGTCAACACCAACGACCAGCACATAGTATGTTTATCAACCGATCAAATCCATAATATCGTGTACACCATTTAATTAATCAACAAGGAACCTACAAAAAAATATGCATCATTTGACAGAGCACATCACAGTAAGTGTTGACCTTATTAAGACAAGAAAACAATCTTGTTTTTGCAGCAATTTTCATGTGAAATGGATACATTCATTCTGGATGACCAACACAAACATCCCATACATTAATCACTTCCACTCATCTTCCTACCACATCATCAGCAATTGAACTCCTTAATCATCAATAATAATTCGATCCTGGGCCAGTCTACATAATTAAAAAAGATTTATAGAAATGTTCTTTCTGAGGAACCACAAAGCAAAATAATTCTGGTCCATTTCAAAGAATTAGTATTCAAGTACAGCTAAACCACTTCAGAGTACCTCTGCAAGCAGTCCTGAGGGCAGATGTCTTAGTTGGGCTCCACAGTATGAACCCTTTGAACACTGTGCAGTATATGAATATAGGCTAAATAATTTCCGCATATGCTTTGTCTCAGAGGCCCACTGTGTGTCATTCCACTAGTGGTCAGGGAAGGCAGATGATGTTACGGACATGGTCAATGGTGCAGAAATGCAAAAAAAGTTCATATATAGGCATGAAGCACAACCTGATACAACTCTCCCTTTGAGGTATAATCTCGGTGAAGAAGGCAGCATAAAGACATCATTGATGCTGTTGTCATGTTCCATTTAAAGATTATGACAACAAAATGGATAAACAAATAAAAAAGGAAAGACAATGTAAGCAAGGAACTATCAATTTCTTACCAATGCATGAATAGCTATTTCCTTTAGGCTGGAAACCAAACAAAATATCTGCTTGGTCAAGCAGTTGTTGTCCTCAACCATCACCGAGTTATACAGATCGATCACCCTTTGAGATTCTGCTCTCAAAGGATTTGCTTCTTTCTCTAGTAGCAAAAGTCAATAATTACCAAGAGGTTAGACCTTTATGAAAATTGATCAACCTTTTACTCATAGCCAATAATTTTCACTGAGAAAAGCATAGAGAAGAAAGAGATCATCATCAAATTTATTTAAGAAAACATTATCACCAAAAGGCAGAACCATAATATCTGCAAAAGTGTCATTCTTTTTATCATACAAATTCTAACACCATCATTAGCAGAAAAGGCTCATCAGAGTTGGCATCTGAAATAAGAAAGCTTGCACTGCACTGATGGTGTCTCACAGGATTTGACATTTAGAGAACACGTCAAACTTCTCCACAATTGTGGCATTCATCAAGGATTACATGCATCACATGTAATAATTCTATCATATGTTCAAAAAATGTGGGATGAAGTATTACAGAGGATATAAACATGTCAAACTTCTTCACAATTGTGGCATTCATCATGCATTACATGCAAGGGTTACAAAAGAATGGATGCTCAAAACTTTAGGATGAATAATTATTACTTCTCATATATTTTAGCTCATATAATTAAGTTTAGAAGATGCATGATACATAGAAAGAAGAATTTTCCTAAGAAATAGCTATGAATGTGCTTAAATATAGAATCAGACTTTCTTTCGGTATACTTAATTAAACACAAGGAATGGCAGAATACAATTTTCTACGTCCCCTGTTACTCATCCATACTCTTCCTCCTACTTAATAACAATCTGGAAAGCACATTCTTAAACTACTCCTAATGTAAATGGATCCCAGTGGCATTGAAGTCCAGTAATGGTAATGTCACAAACAATCAGAACAATATGTTTTTCAACAAAGTTCCAAGACCCAACTAACAACAAAAAAGAACAGACTTTCATCCTTTTAAAAATATAAGAATCTTCAGTATACTATCAATGTACTCATTCAAAGACTCTTTGTACCATAGAAGCCATAAGTGCTGCCAATTGTTGTATGTTATCATCAGGACATCTAATAACTCATAGGTCATATGAAAAAATGTACTCATTTCCATTCTCTACACAGACAGTTATGTGGATATCCTACCAAAAAGGACCATTGCACAAGACTATTACCAATATGGGGTACCAGGAAGGATCAAAATTTGTAGTCTTACCCCTTTAAGCAAAGAGGTTATTTCTATGACTAAAGCCCTAGTCATCCAGTTTAGAGAAGAGCCACATTATGATGGCATCATGGTTCACTCACTATCTAACTAAAATATACCCTAGATGTCAAGGATTTCTTTTTGATCCACAGCTTGATTGGCTGGCGAATTCCCTCAGTATGCTGATCTCCAACAATCTACACAAAATGTCAACTTAGGTTTTGTTTTTGTTTTTTTTTCTTCCAATTCTATGATGCCTATTAAAGGGTTTTTATTTCTTAATATAATCTATAAATGGGATATACTGTTCTGTACTACTAAGTCTTAGAATAATATGTCATGAAAGAAGAAAAGGATACAGTAACAAAGGTGTGAAAGTGAGAAGGTAGTAGAGGAAAAATGTTGAGGGAGAAGATATTAAACTAAATTAAAGTGATTAAAAAAGATACAACATCCCTTAACTAATGAAACAAAATAGGAAGAAATCTTAACATTTTCCAGAAGAGCCACTCATTTATATTATTAAGAGCAAAGAAATTTCTTGTTTTATGAACTTAATTAAATGCTAAAAGATAAAATTATGATAAAAATTATCAAATAATCATGTTGTTATACACATTAAATTTACTTTAGTCTTTAGCATTGGGAAAACCACAACCAAGTTAAGAAAAATCAACTTAAAGGAAACCTCATCACTTTTGGAAGATAAGATTAAAAAAAGACATGCCTGTTATTTAGCTTCTGGCCTTCAGGCCTTTCCCCCAACTTTCTGAGAAAGTTTGACAAGATTACCAAGTCATTGCTAGTGTTTCTTTCTGATAACCAATCATCTTGAAGCTGAACATTAACATCCCTAAACAAAAACAAAGTCATTGACATCAATTACTTTTCATAACCATGCATAAGGTTTATGCATATCTTTTTAACTGATTAACAAACTATCATGTGATTACAAAGCCAGATAGCATTTATTCCATCTAGGACATTTCCGTAAACTCATACCTCCTTAGGCTAAGAACCTTATAATTTCTTCTCAGATAATCAGCATATTTTGTGAGTGCATTTTGTGCATAGTCTTTGCCTACTGTTCTTATTGCAGCTGCACTAAGTAAATCTTCTAAAGAGCCGTGTTTCTTCAAGAGTTTGAGGGCTGTCTTGCGACCAAATCCAGGAACCAACTGCTGAATCCCAGGAACACCATCAACTTCATCACCGATGAAACACCCTATGTGGATACAAGTTTAGACAGTAAATAATGATGAAGACCTTGGACAGGTAAAGTTTCATTGTAACATGAAGCAGCTTCTGAATGCCATGTGGTGATGATTTATCTAGTTGAACACTTAATGAGGTACTCCATACAAGTGATTCTGCTACAAGCTATGGGATGGATAACATGAATTTATAAGTCAAATCCAGATAGATTGACCACTTTAATCAAAGATATACAGTAACAGACCAAGCTAAAGGAACCTTTCATTTTTCACTGACAATCCATGGAAGGCAGTGCTTACAGTGCCCAATTAGGAGAGTGAAAGATATAACAACACCTTCATTTGGGCTTAAAATGCTCATGGTCACAATGTTAAAAGCAGCAGCCAGACAAGAGATATAAAACTTTCTGGCAGTATCAACCATAGAAATGCTCACAAGATCAAAAAATAAATAACAGTTACAAGTAAATGCTCATTTTGATTGTTAACCTACCAATAATATGAACCCATATAAAGTGTGTGTGTGTGTGTGAGAGAGAGAGAGGATGAGGTTTGAGAAATACGAAGACATGTTCCATGTATAAATTGCTGCTTGAATGGTAAAATTTTGAAAAATACAGTTAAATTTCATTTGTGAAGTAAAGCACCAATGAACAAGTTATGAAAGCTGAAACAGTCGGAGGACAGAAAGATTAAGCATCAAATCGAGCTTATATGTAATATCATAGCTAATTCACACATGAGGTACATAATTATTTCCAGATGTGAAGATAACATCATAAATTAACATGAAAAAAAAAACAGAACTAAAAGATTAAAAATGTTGTCACAGTGGCATGAACTACCTGAAGAACAAACAATACCTATCCACTGAGGAAAGAACATAATAGAAAGAGAATTTGTGAAAAAGAGCATTTATAGAATAAGTTGAAGCTCTATAAAGTCCATTTATCATGGAACACGCCCACATAAACTGATCAGCATAAAAATACAGAAAAGAATGCACAATGAAGTTCCTGTAGATTTGCACAAAAAGGTTCATTATTAATACAGTGGGAAATGACAACCAACTCTTGCCAGCTATTTAAATTAGGATCCCTCTAGATGGAACACCATCTAATATGAATTACCACCTCATTAATGCAATGTCAAGCATACATATCGAAAAAAAAATCACAGGTTATGACTATTCCGACAAAACATCAACAGCTTTCTCCATAACATATAAAATACATAGAACATGTGCAATGTCATGGAAACAGTGTAATATTTTGTACTCACGAAGGCTCAAATCAGAACTTGGATCACACTTGTACTGATCAATGTAGTGTCTCAATGTGTAGAAAGACCATCGACCAAAATCAGGCATGGGCATCACAATTTGAACATCTTCAGATATCAACTGCTTGAAATCTTTATCAGGAGACCCAATAACAACTCGTGCTCCCTTTTTTAAAACTTGATCTGTTAATGTTGCCACTACATCATCTGCCTCATATCCATGAACTTTGACTACCTGCATTGCTTAAAAACTTGGAAATTATTATTTTGCAGCAAACAATTTGCTGGTAGCAGAATTCTAGGGATAGAAGTAAATTAAAACACAATAATCTTGATTATGGTCTCATATCATGATAAGTTTAATCAAACTTATGTAATTTCCTTTCTTTACACTAGCAAGCTATAAACTGCCAGAGGAGCCATTAAGAGAACTACGTGACTGATGGAACTGCAATCGACTGAATGAACAATAAAAATGGCAACTCAAAATACAGTCCCTTCAACAGTCTCAGTCTGAATAAGCACCCAAATTAACAATCTAATTTAACAAAAGAGAACCTTCTCGACATACCGGCACATTGCACTTCAGGAGAACGTCTATAACTTTGCACTCGGTGGTGCTTTGATAAGTATCATGAGCACTCCGCAATACCCGCGATCGCCTCAAGTATCTCTTCCTGTGTGCTTTATATGACGGCAACAGATGCCTCCGATACTCATTCCCTTCTTCTCCATCCAATACCTTAAAAGAAGCATTTTTTTCCTCATTCGCCCCTAAAAGTTACAATTTTGATAATTCCTATGCAAGAATTAGGCAAGACAGTTGGGCTTACGGCGATGACGGGATCCCGGAGGCTAACTTCGGAGAAGAAAAGGTCGAGCCATCGCGCAAAGGAACGGAGACTCGGGCGGGACCCATCAAAGCACAAGGGATTCACGTCCAAGAAGAAGACCCTCCGCTTGCCCGCAAGCGGCTTGCTGGAATTCCCCACCGACTGGGACGCCACCGCTGCACCCAGCAGGCACGGTTTCTCCGTTACGGCCTCATCGTGGGATGAGATGGTGAGCCTCCACCGTCCGGCAAAGGGGCGACGGGGTAGGCTGGGAGGTCCCGAAGGACGGTGGCGGAGCTGTTGGGAAGTACCGAAAGCGTTCGCTATCGCCACCGCCATCAATCCCCTAATACTCCTCCGCGGAAAGCTAACCGACCCATTGAGGCTCGTACCGTCCTTCGGGACCCAATTGCCCCCAGGGGATCTGTCACGAATCTCAATCATTTCAACGGTCAAGATTTCTCATTCCACGAAAAGAAGTCGCGATCGCTCGGTAATGCGCTGCAACAGCCGGAAGCTAGTGGCCTCGCCACTGCCTTGTGGCCACCGCTTCACCACCAGGCGGCTGCTGGGGCTCCGGCCACCGGCCAGTCTCATACTGCTCCCCCACACCGCACCACCCTCAGCCACCACCAACTTCTGTCGGCTGCACCACCATAGTCTTCCTGCGCAGCCTCTGAGGTAAACAGTTATAAGAAACTGCACAATTTCTAAATAGCAGTTTATCCAAATAAAAAAGTAAACAACACTTTCTTAATCTTTCTCCTCTTCATATGCCTTTTTCTTTTGTTGTTTTGGGTCTTCACTAGGAGTTTTTTCATCTTTAATTACTTGTAAATTCTGAGAGTCCTCTCTTATGTAATCAACAGGAAACTAATTTATACTTCTAGATGATTTAAATTTAATTTAGTCATATCTTTTGAAGAATGATATGATGTGATTCATAGGTTCCTTGTATTGCTCTTGGAATGTTATTGCAACTTCATGATGCAACAATTTGATATGCATGATTCATATGTCTTTGTTGTTTCCTTTTTTGTGGAAACAAAAGTTTCCATTAATGAGATTGAATTATTAAATGGATAATATTGAACAAAAGAAGGAACTGGAATCATCCACAAGAGTATAATTCTAAAACTAGTGTACTTAAGTTAGCAAAAATGATAGTTTCCAAGGTTTGGATCAATGTCTTAGAGCATAAAATGAGTAAAAGCTAAAGCAAGACTTGAGTTATAGCAACCAACATGTATGATAGAAACTTGTATTATAGCAATTTACATGTATCACAGAAACATGAGTTAAAAGCTTAAGCCTCAGGATCCATGTAAGATAGAGAGTCTTTTATATAAATTGACAAAAAATTGTTGTCTTTGTAAAAATATGTACAACCAATAAAACTCCACAACCACCAATTATTTGAAGGTAAAATCTGTAAAAACAATGATTAGTTTTTCATCAATATTATTTTGATCACTAAATTAGTAATTTATGCTATACATTTGAAATAGTTTTAATTCTAGGACTCTTTGCACTTCCCAACTTGTCACAAGTTTTCTGCCAGGCTTCTCTTTGGATCTTCCCCTTCTCAAGATCTCAAGTTGAAAATTGAGGTTCTTTTGTCTTTAATGTAACTCTAACGTGCATCATAAGTTTCTCTGTGGTTCTCAAACAACTTTGATCAATTAAACATGAATTATTGGGTGGTCAGTCTAATGCATGACCCCATTAACTTCAATTCTGAGAAGTCAAGATCTCCTGCAGGTTCATCATCTTTGTTGCTGCTACAAAGGGATTCTGTATAGCTGAGAATTCTAACAGAATGATTCCATAATTACCTCTTATCTTACAGCATGTTCTATACCAGGAATATATCCTTCATCCTTCATCTGTTTGAGCAACTCTCTCAGCCTCAAACATATTTCTTCTTTTTGTGGATGCAAAGAATCACCTGCCATGAACTCATGGACTTTAGCATTTAGCTCAATCCAACTTTTTCCTGGCTCTTTCTTCACCCCATTAACTCTCATCATTTGTCGGACTTCCTCAACTCCATCCCAGTTGCCTAAGGAGGCATACAAATTAGAGAGCAACACATAAGCTGCAGAATCACCAGGTTCAAGGGCCAGTATCTTTTCCATGGCCCTCCTTCCTCTTTCAGCATCACCATGAATTCTGCAAGCACTCAGCAATATTCTCCATACTAGTGCATCTGGTTCGAAAGGCATTCCTTCTATCAAGTTTTCTGCTTGCTTTAATTTTCCTGCTCGCCCGAGAATGTCAATCATGCAAGAGTAGTGATTAAATCCAGGTCTAATCCCATATTTAGTCTCCATCATCTTAAAGAACTTTCCAGCTTCCCTTCTCAAACCTGCATAGCTGCAAGCTGTCAATACCGCAATGAAGGTTTTGGCATTTGGTCTCACTGCAGCTCTCTCCATTTGCTCGAAGATTTCAAGAGCCTCCCTCGAATAACCACTCTGCACACAACCTCCAATCATTGCTGTCCAAGATATTACATTCTTGACGGAAAGCTCAGAGAAAACCTTTCTTGCTTCCCTTATGTTCCCTGCTCTGCAATACATGGTTATAAGTGAATTGGCTACAGCTGCATCTGTTTTAAGTTCTGATTTCAGGACCAGACCATGGACCTGTCTTCCCTGTTGCATCGCCATGGCATTTGTGCATGCTGCAAAAATACTGGCAAAGGTAAAATTATCTGGCTTGATGTTCTCTTCTCTCATCCTGTAAAGTAGTTTCAGTACTTCATCCAAATAACCATTTTGTGCCGACCCAGAAATCATCGCATTCCAGGTGATCAAGTCCTTATGTTCAACTCTGTTAAAAACCTCCCTAGCATCAGAGATGACCATTGATTTGGCGTACATGTCAATAAGTGCGCTACTGATAAAAGCATCTGGTGCCAGGCTTCTCTTGACCAGGTCGCCATGAACTTCTCTTCCAGTTCGGTACCAGGCCAGAGAAGCACAAGCAGCTAAGGCACCTACAAAGCTGAATTCATCAGGCTCAAAACCAGACCCCTTGATTTCTAAAAAGAGTGTCAGTGCTTGTTCAGGCTCCTCATTCTGAACATGAGATTGGACAATGGAATTCCAAGAGATAAGATCTGGCTCTGTGATACTACTGAAAGCTTTCCAGGAGTCAGAAACCTCTTCATGTTTCGCATACATTGTAATGAGACTGTTTCCGATCAAGGCATCTGCGTGCAATCCCATTTTGATTGCAAGTCCATGAAGCTGTTTGCCAACAATTATCGACAAACAGGTAGCACCCGCCTTCAGCAGGATGGAGACAGTATACTCATCTGGCAGCACACCCTGCTCACCCATTTGCCAAAATAGTTTCAGACCTTCTTGCACCATATTGTTCCCGAAGCATGCTGAGATAACCGAGTTCCATGTGACAGCATTCGGTAGCTGCATGGAATTGAAGACTAAGCTTGCAGCTCGTGGATTCCCAGACCTGGCATAGGCATCCAGTAGCACGCTTCCTACAAAGACATTGTTAGCCAGCCCCCTCTTAGTAATCTGGCCATGTAGCTTGGTAATGATGTTTGCATCCGTCAATGAGAGCAAGCTTCCGAATGTGAATTCATCTGGAGTGAAGCCTTCCTTCTGCATGTCGACGAAAAGATCCAATGCGTCATCAGGAGACCTGCTTTTGACATGCAATGCAATCAGGGAATTCCATGAGACCTCGTCTCGCTCAACCATGTTCCTGTACACTGATTCAGCATTCTCCGGTTCTCCAAACTCTGAGTACATACTGATCAAACAGTTCCCGACCTGGACACAAGCGAAGAGACCTGCCTTCATGAGGTGCCCATGAATCTGCTTCCCGAGCTCACGACTCCCTGTGCCGACCGAAGCTCGGATTGCAGTCAAGTAAGTCAGATGATTGGGGCTCGGTCCTGCCTCAACCATGGTGCAGAAGAGGAATAACGCATCGAGAAGACGGCCATTGGAGAAGTAACCGGATATGAGGGCGTTCCAGGACACCACATTCCGCTCGGGCATTCCATCGAACAGCTCCCGGGCCATGTCAAGCTCCCCGCACCGCGCGTACAGGTTGATGAACTGGTTGTCCAAGAACAGGCCAGGCGTGTACCCTATTCGGGCCATGTGGGATCGCAGGTGGCGCCCCTCGCGGAGCGCCCTGTTCGCGATGCAGAGGGAGATGACGGAGTTGTAGTGTGCTCGATGCTCTTCAGGGGTCTTCTTCCTCTGCTTCAAGGCGTAGTCCCCCAGAGATAGCATCAACCTCCCCAATTCTAACCTGCCATTGTTAGTGGGCGCTGGTGTCCTCGTGGAGGTGGCAAGAGGTGGTCTGGTGGGAGGAGAAGGCAATGGTTGGGTGAGGGCAGGCGAAGTGGCCATGGCCATTGGACAAAGGTGGGGGGTGAGCAAGTCTCATTACGTGGGACTTCACATGGCTGAGAGGCAAAGATAAGGTGTGAACTCTCAGAATTAAGGTTATAGTGAGATTAAGTCTATTAGGTATTTGGTTTTGTTATTATAAATGATGACATAAATATTTGGGGGTAATTTCTCTTTTAAAAAATCATCTTTTCTCTTTTTCTTTCTCCCAAAAGACTCCCTGTTTTATTTTTTTCTAATTGATATCCCATAATTTCAATAATGCTCAAAATATCCTTCCACAACCACAATAATATTAATCATTTTTGTCAATTTTTTCATCAATTTTAAATCATTACAGTATTTTCTTTTGACTTATTTATAATATTTTTATTAAGGTGCTGAAAATGCTGTAAGTGGTATTATATGATGTCTTTTAGTTATCATTGCTCATAGATCATTATCTCTGTTTGATAATATTATCTATGTTTTAGTAATATTATTCATAAATTATTATAAATAAATATTTGAACCCTAATATGATATATCAAATGATCTTTATTATGTTTTGATTCTATTTATCTCAATTATATTATTTTTCAATAGTATTATAGTATTTTTTGTTGAGGTATTGAAAATTTTATAAAGTTATTAAAAAATATTATAAGTGGCATCATATTATATCTTTTTGGTTGTCATTATTCATATACTATTATAGTACCAAACTTTTTAAGGCTTTAAATTGGTTTGAATAAAATTATGAATCAATTTATATTATTTATAATTTTTCAAATAAATTTTATAATATTTTTATTGTGATGACCAAATTATTGGAATGTATTATTGGATTAGTGAGAGATATTTTGGATATTATTTGTAATAAGAATACTATTTGAAAAAATTAAAAAGAAGAGATTTAAAAAAAAAGTTTATCCAAAGAAATAGTCCACTATTTTTAAATAATTTTTTAGATATATTAAAATAATATATTAATAATGTTTATAATATGTGGACAATTGTTGAATTAGGATTAGTTCAATCATTTGTTCAGTTGAGATTGTTGGGAATTCATGTGCAGCATCACAGTGGAAGGACAAAAAAAAAAAAAAGATTTTCGATTCAATATCGTATTGTTATCTAAGATTGATGTGCAAAAAAAATTATAAAATCAAAAATCACATAACATATTTGAGATAATTTACCTAGGGGAGATCGTATATCATCAAAATCATATATCAAAATCTTTAGATGAAGAAGGTCATATGTTCTTCTCTCTAGCGGTGATCCACTCAGCAAATGACGTGATGATACTCCTCTTTCGTAGTGTCATCTTTCCTTTCCTTTATACACCGCAAGATTATGCCCAGATCAAGAAGGGACCGACCCTTCTTACTGTCCACACACCTCAAATAGGACTATCGATTGAGGAGGAGAAGGAGAGATAGAATATAAGATGATAGCCAAAAAGGGTCTAGTATATATCCCTTTGGTTCCTTCTATTTAGGAAGTTCCTGCAACTTAACCATAATAGATCTTACCCTATTGGATATTATATCTCTATCCAACTACTCAAGTCTCTCTATCCAATAATCACTATTTACTCTTAATGAGTCTTACCCAAATAATCCAATAATAAAAGGACTTATTGGATATCTAATAAGATATGAACTGAACGAATATCTCATATTTATACATTTACTCGTTACAATACCTACTATATGTGTGTGACCCTCTAGGCTCAATACTGAGTTGGTCGTGAGTCATACATATTAGAACTCCTTCCGATTGAATAAATTATTATCTACATGATAATTCACTTCACTCGGTGATTATGAACATACTATGTCACTATTTCATAGTTTTCAAATGATACAGGGAAATCCAATCTATTAGACTTGTTTATCCTCAATTACCGTATATCTATAGTGTCTTATCATTCTAATATCCTAAATACCGTATATCGGGCATAGTACTATCAAGCGTATAAGGAATCTACTCGAGGCTTGCTCTAATCGGATTCTTCCATAGAACTCTTTTTTCTCTTAATCTGAATAATCGTGACCAGAGATTTAATTGAATGAGAACACATGAGACATTCCTCTCATGACACCGAGAGCAGATAATCCTCTATAGATATTAATTGCTCTTGTAAGGTTGGTTACCACTCTCTATAATCAACTATGCTAGATTTGAAACCTTTAGACCTACAAGTCTAGTATCAAAAAGTAAAATACTCATACATGACATCTTTAGTGTCTCAAGTCTATGGATCAAACTCATAATTTGAACCACGAAACCGTTATTTGACGACGATGTATCATTCACCATCTCGTATTTCATGAGCGGATCAATTGATGAACTCATTCTCCAATGAACACTTCCATTGTACCTCTAATGTCCCCACATGAGCGACTATAAGACTAATTACCTCTATTATATGAATGATTATATAGCACATCAGTCAGTCCGACGATCTCGATGTCTCTCTCAAGTAACATAATATTTAGGATCTATGTTTATAAGAGAATTGATCTCATTATTATGATTTTATCATGATCAAATTCCTATTATATAAATTGAAAAACATCATAACATTATCAAGTAGGTAATATAAAGTAAAATAATACTAATAATAAAGATAAGTAAAAAAATTATGTAATATGAAACACATGTTGTTTATTGGCACATCCACATCCACAGGTAGCCTATTGAAACCTTTAGTTAAAATTGAGGTCAGCCATAAATGTGCGACTGAGACACTCTCTCGAAGGATGGGATGGCTTCGGAGAAAAATTAATTATCAAATTCCCTAAATACCCTTTTAAAATAAAATTAAAAATTTATAAAAATATTTTTAATACTTATACACTATAGGTGCTCTAAAATTGATGAATGTGTTATCTAATTTAATTGATAAATATTTTGATAATTTTATTTATTTTTAAAAAAATACTATACTATTCTAACATATTTAAAGTGTTTTCATTAAAGACTCGGTTGATTTGGATTAATCATAATAGTGTATAAGTTATTAGGTTTTAAAGGATACATACTGACCTTAAATTGATAGAGATAAATATGAAATTACTTGTATATAAATATATAAATAATTCAATCCTTGTAAAATTCGGAGACAAGTTATTTGTTCTTCTTTATAAGTTTCAAAATGACATCCATGTCCCCCTCCTAACTCAGTTATTACTTACTGCTATCATCAGTTAATTCTAATTTAAAAAATAAAAATATAAAAGATTAGAAATATTCTTAATACTCAAATACTATCCTGACATATTTAAAGTGTTTTCTTAAACAATCAGTTGATTTGCGTTTATTATAATAGCATTTAAGCTATTACGCTGAACTTAAATTGATATAAATTAATACGAAAATTACTTATGTCAAGTAATATATATATATATATATGATTTTTTTTTGCATCCATGGTTAGCTCTGTGTCTCTCCTCCCTGATACTCATCCACGCCGTCTTCCTTCTCCCTCGTTTCTCTCCCTTCTTTGTGCTTTGTCTCCGTGTTTTGCTTTCTTCCATGGCATCACGACAGTTACTGGCTTGCACAGGTTTCTTTACTGGGTGCGTAAAAGGTAAAAACATGTCGGTTTGTTCACGATGGCGGATGCGCGAGAAAAGAGGAGGCAAGCAACAGAGGCGACGACAGAGCCAGCGCAACTTGTGGCTGTGGGGAGGAGGAAGAGGTGGGCTGAGATCACCGTACCTCTGTCTCTATGAGCGAGCCACAGTGCTACTGCTGCTGCCCCCCTTGCGAAAGCTGGCCACCACCGGCTGCTCCGTGTGTCTCCAGCTCCAGTTCCAGCTCTTCCTCCGCTGTAAGTTCCGTCCGGTATCAGATCCCGAGGTGTTCGACGTATTGTCGGATCCAGTGTCTTCCACTTGCTTCCACGCTGATTTCGGGCTTCGGTTCATTCATTTACTGTGGATGTTTAAGTTGGATTAGAGGGCTCCTTCATCGAATTTAAGTTCAAATTAGGAGGAGCTTACGAGGCACTTAAAAATGCTAATTTTGATTATAATTTTTATAAATATAAATATTTATTAATTAATATACAGTGAGAAATATAGGTGTCTCAATCCAGTTCTATTAAAAGAAAGATGAATACTATAACACGTCTCAATAATAAAATTATATTACTCTATTAGTTAGAATATTTTAATTTTTAAATTTAAAATATTTATATTAAAATCTCTATAATTATGAAAGTGAAACATTTAATCTTATTTATCTTGATGTCGTCGATTTTATCAACTGAGAATATAATACATGATAATAATGATAAAAAAATAATGAACAAAAGGATAATATGCATTGTATAAATGATCGACGAGAACGATGATAGACCTTATCGATATCTCAAATGACATGAAAACTACGGGCAAAAAAATGTTTAGGATAAATGAGGTTAAATACTTCACTTTCATAACTATAAAGATTTTAATATAAGTTTTTTAAATATAAAGATCGATGTACTAAAAAAAAATTAATTATAATGATCTCAATATATTTTTTTTAAATTTAAAGATCAAAATATTAAAGAGATCTAATTACGTAATATAATCTTATCAAAACATGTCATCACCAATTCATCTAGACATGTCATCACCAAATCAAAATCTAATCTTATCAAATTTGAAATAAATTTAGATGCTTAAATAATTATACATATATTATTATTATTATTATTATTATTATTATGGATATGTTGAAAGGTTTTTCTTTTTGTTTTGAGCAAGGATTTCTTTTTGGTCGCATCTCTCTAAATAATTGCCGCTGCTGCTGAAGTAATATTGGCAGCAGCAATCAAGAGAGTGCAGGAACAGTCGCCTGTGCCGGCTGGTCCCGTCCAGAAGCCTTTTCCATGGCGGTTGCCATCCGTTCCCACATCAATCTCAGCAGACAACGAGATTCCACCAGTACCGTCCTCGTGTCTCCTTGTCCACTCAATTGCCCAGGAATCTCCTCCCCACCCATCCCCTTCTTCTTCCTCGCCTGCAGCCTTCACTGATGGAAGAAGATGACAAAGGAACCCAGTCAAAGAACACAGACGGGTTCCTTCCAAAGCAAAGCACAATAAGAAGAAAAGATCCCTTCGTTGCTATAACATGATGCACACAATCAAACTCTCTCACTCACCATGGTGTCTCTCGAGTTGTTTTTACTGTGATCCTGCTTCTGTTTGCATGGAAGAAGACTGGTAATGGTATTGTTTGTATACTAATGGAACAATAGCTGCTACAAACAAACAAAGCTAGAAGAAGAAGAAGACGAAGAAGAAGAAGAAGAAGAAGCTGATCACCGGAATTCTCCTTCCTCTGACCTCTTCTTGTTGCTGCTTCTGCCTACCTTCAGCTCACTGGTGGCTGCAGATGTCCAATAGCTCCTTCCTGCCCTCCACAATTTCATCAAACAAGTCATCCAGCTGCGCCACAAGATTCTCAGTTCCAGATCTCAGCGTCCCCAGCCACCCCTTCAATCCCTCCACCTTCTCCTTCAGCTTCCCTGCCGTGGCCCCTGTGTCGCCTCCCTCCGTCCCCGCCTTCTCCATCTCTTCTCTCAGTTCCTCGGCCGCCGCCCTCGCCGCCCGGAACTCGTGCATGAGAATCCCGGGTCGGCCGCCGAGTTCTTCCACCTCCCCGACCAGCCTCCGTCGCAGCCTGCCCACTGAAACAGCGTACCCCGAGCTCAAGAATGTCGATTCTTCGGAGACACCTTGTTCTGGACAACAGTGGACCGATCCCCACAGCAGGATCAGCAAGAGGAGCGAGCTCACGTTCCTCAGCGCGTAAAGAACTCCTCTGAAGCCATTGAATCCGTGGAGCCTGGATTCCGTGAACGCTCTCTCGTCGTCGAACCGAAGTGAAGCTGGTTCGATTTTGGTCTCCACCAACACCCTGTTCTCCTCGTCCAATCTCATGGCTTCCCTCCGGCAAACAGAGATCGCTCGCATCACCTTAACAAAGGAAACCAGATAAAAGTCAGGGCTTTGAGCCATGAAGGAACGTTAACAGCAGGTAGGAGGATGTAAGTAGCCGATCAGGACCTGCAGGGCGAGGCGAGGAGTGGGATTCCGGCGCCACTCTTCGAGGGAGGCGACCATGTCTGCTCCGCGGGAGTTGTAGTTCTCCATGCCCGAGATGCCGAGCTTGATCACATGGCAAACGTCCCAAAGGCGGGAGCTTTCATCCATGTACTCGTCCAGCCACCTCTCACCGGCGGGCAAGTGGAGCTTCTGCACCAGGCCGATGAGTCGGGAGTGAAGGGACCGAAGGAGGGCGACGGCGCGCTGCAAGGACTGGAGCGACATGAAGGCATTCGACGCGAAGCATCGGTCGAGCTCATCGAGGCCACCGGAGAGGAAGGAGAAGAAGTTGGTGACGGAGTTGGAGCAGGGCCTCATGGTGCTGGAGGACGGAGTGAGTGAGATGGGAGGAGGCGGCGATGGCATGGCTTAAATGCGCGGCTCCCCTCCGCTGAAAGGGATGCTTGGAGGACAATGATGGGTGTTTCCTGTGGGGGGAGAAGGATGATTAGGAATCTGCCATGTCGCGTTGTTTAGTGGCAGAAAGGGCGGAGCAAGTGATGGAGTTCGGAACACAAGCCTCATGAGCTCTGTTGCGCTGCCCTCTTCTTCCGGGGCTACCCACTGTTGCGAGACTGTGTGCTGCCTTTCCAACTCCTCTCGGTGCAGCACCTACATGTTGGGGTGGGTGGAGTGGGGGAGGGGCAGCAGCACAACCTTTACTTCTGGGCTCTGTCATGTCGTTTTCTCTTCTGCTGCTCACTGAGATGACCTTCTTCATCACAATCCAATCTGACGAGAACTTCTCTTGCTCTCACCACTAATCCTTTTTTGCAGGTTCACGGTGATGATGAGCTGTTGAAGAGTGTTCCAAGCTCGGGCTTCAGTCCGACCAAGGGAATGATGGGATTCCATGTACTGCAACTACCGATGTCTCCATGGTTCTTCCTTAATTTACTGGTGTCAAGGTGGGTCTTGACCTGCACGAGCTGCAGTGTTGGTCATGTCTTTGCTGAATGGGAGGAGCCACCACCCATGAGCTTTTGGGAGAACCGAGAACTCGGAAGACCATGTTGGTCTTCTAAGATCTCAATGCCGGCTGGATGATCAAACACAGTTGCAGAAGAACTTGGGAATTTAAGATGCTACGTATATTTATTCGATGCCACATATTTTTCATATCAGTTTTAGTTTCAACATGAAATCGATGAGGATTATTTGTAACAATTTATTTGTATGATTTTAGTGTTACATATGCTAAATTTTGATGAAGGTGGGGAGAGCATGCAGGCTAAAAACAGGGTGATGGTGTTGGTAGATTAGAGTGGCAGGGCCGAGAAAAGCCATGATGTAGGGGACCTCCTCACCCTCCTCTATCTCCTCCTCCTGTCTTTTCCCACCACCACAACCACCACCACCACCATAGTGGTGGAGGTTGTGATCTCCCCAGTCCTGCAAACTCTCTTGCCTCCCTGTACTAACCATCAATGATGTATGATCTTTTTAGTTAGCTTATCCTTTCTTGACTACTCAATTTGATGTTGATCTCAGCTTCAGTCTGTCTTTAATATTTTTCTTATAATATATACATATTTCTAAAATTTGATGATTATGTGGAAGTAGAAGCATTCATGAGAAGTCCTCCCTCTTCTGTTGGTGTGTGTGTGTGTATATATATATATATATATATATATTCAGATTATCTATCTTTTTTTCTTGCAAAGAAAGTGGAAGAAAATAAAAGAAAAGAAATGAAGAGCAGAAAAAATGAGTGTCAAAAATATAAAAAATTTTCACTACTTAGGAGATTCTCAAATTAATAAGAAAATTACAGACCAAGATTTAATTTGTCAGTCTCTCTTCTCATATATATTTTCTCTTTTTAAGATTTCCTAACACTAATTTCCTTGTGCCATAAATTGACTTACCAGATCCAAAGAGAGACAGAATGCTGATGATTTTTTGGCCTACTAATTTCCTGTTTGTTTTCTTGTGATTATTGCAGCATGTTTTAGGAGCAGGGGAGGAGCAGCACTGATGGAGTGAAGAAAAACAAAACACATCAGACATCCCTCTCTCAGAAATCTAAAACAAAATTACCTCTTTCTCAATGCTGCATTTTACTCCAATCCCTGACCCCATTATTAACATGTGCCACAGTTGTCTTGTTTGGTGCATCTACTGCTACATGACAATCAACCATCATAGATGTTTGCAGTCTCATATTATTAGCTCTAAGACAGCAGCTATGGATATAGGATTAACTTAAGAGGGCTTCTAACATCAAAATTACACCATATCAGAAAGCAACATAGGCAAGAAAACCAATGCAAATGCATTTATCAATCAACATAACTTTGTTAAGTAGAGCAAAGTAGATATGAAACAAGGGGCAACAAGAGATCTCCCCTATTAAGTCATGAAAGCAAAAACAACTACGAAGAATCATTCTGCTAAAGAAGTATTCATTTAAGTTACTATAACCTGTATGTGGGGCAGAAGGAATACCGAAAGTGCAAACATATTAAGAGATTGAACTTTGCTCTTTCTTTGCTGCATTGACCATCAACCACTGTTTTTTTGCAGCACTAAGCTTTATCTTGCTTATCGTTTACAAGGGGGAGCAGCTCCATTAGACTCCGAGGGGTGCGCGGAGTTCGGGGTGTTCCAGGAATAGAGGGTTGCTGTGACAACTTATGCCGGACATACCCATAGAAAGTACAGCCCGACAAGGTCACGGCACATCCAACGGCGTTAAGAGCAGATATGGGGTTTCTGAAAATAATCCACGAAACCAACACAGCGACCGCAACCTATATCATGTCCATAATTTAGTAACAATAACTACACTCTGTGAGGAGGATCAGAAATTAGATGTAACTCACCTTGAGGTTGCCAGCAACATTGAATGTAACAGCAGTAGTGGAATGGATTACATAAAAGATTGAGAAGTTGAGGCAAAAGGCCAGCACCCCAGAGCTAAAAATGATGATCATCGATGAACAAATAGATTGGTGTGAGTATAACCAGTCCACTACTCCAGCTCCTTCGAGTAATATTGCTGGTAAAGCCAAGATCATGGTTGCAAAAGGTGCCATATAGTATACTGTGTTTATGCTACACAAATGAAAATGCAACCAATTTAGCATGATAAAAAAGAACAAAGGAAAACACAACGGCCAAATGTATTAACAACATTAAACTAGAACATCTCTATAAGATGATTGTAGTTCAGTTGATAATGCAGCAATTATAATTCATGATTTTCTCTATCAGCAAGTTGAATGTTATAACATCATCCATTTAGAATATACTTGACAGTCATTTTATTCCAAACTTCATTTGAAGAAAATGTTCATTTTTCCATATCAAATGAAGTTAAATAACAAGTTCTGTTTTTGATGCTGCAAACCAGCTGCCTGCACCATGTTTTAATGTGAAATTCCTACATTATGTTGGTTTTCACAATCCATTGAAACACCTTATTTAAGAAAGAAAATGACTTGTACAAATCTGTGAACAGGAAAACTACCTTTCACTGGAACTGCTGCCTAAATCAGTTCTCTAAAAGAGAAGTGCTTCCTTACCTAAAATGGACTTAAGTCAACCAATCAAACTAAAATATGTGAAGCTCTTTGTTCATATAACTTCAGCATATTAAAAGTTAATCTGGTTAGGTAATTTTTCTTGCAATGAGAACATATCATCCTTATCAAAGCCTATGCAAATTGGCATGTAAATCCACACTGAGCAAACCACTCTTAGTTATAACCATTCATTCAAATATGTGAATGACATTGAAAATGTATATTCATAGTGATGTTTCATAAAGTACATGTTAGTTTTGTGGTATTTCAACTGATGCTTTTTCACGTTGGGCTAGAAACTAGAATATTGAAATTTTCATTAATATTGAATAGTGGACTAGAAAGCACACTAAAATTTATTAACAGGACCAAGAATCCTTAAGAAAAAGAATATTGAAATTGTCATTGCTGCCAAGATATCAGAATCATCAAACAAGTTCTCATCATATATGTATATACCAACACATTCTCTCGAGCTCAAGCCTAAGCCTGTTTGAGTCAGGTCTTTGATCAGAACCACTAAGCCTTGAGCCTGACACATACATGAGTGTACAAATAAGAAGTGTTCTTGTTTTTTTTCACAGATCCCGATCAAGAGCAAAAATGATTCCATCTATGGTTACTTAAGTGCAACCAAAAAATAGACTGGAATGTGTTATCGGTTCCTTTGAAATTTCAAGTGAACAGAAGACACATGAAATTTGTGCCAGTGAAATAAAAGCTTGAATAACAGAAACCATAGTCCTTGTGAGTCATCAACAACCAAATGATTTGACACTGAAAAACATCTTAAAAAATAGTAGTAACAGACTATTCATTACATTCAACACCCATGAAATGATTAAACATAAACTGGAATGTTTATATTTTAGCTAATGTAATATGAGATTGATTTTCCAATCAGAAATCCACATGAGATATCGTGCAAAGGGCTAAGCAGAACATTTTTCACAAAGAACTTGGCCATGGATGGGATAAGAAGATGTATGTCATTCTCTACTTTCAGGAATGAGACCACAAGCAGCATGCATCGGGCTATACAGAAAAGTGATCAGCTCTGTTAAGAGCATTTTAAGATAGTTTCAACTTGTCATATTGAAAAATCAAAGTTAATAATTCACAAATAAGAACCATTACCTGTCAAATTTATATCCATGAAGAAGAGACTCTGCCAGGATTGTCTTTGTTGATGTAGCAAGACAGCCAACTAGAGCAGCACAAAATCCAAATACATTGAAACTAAGCTCTGTTATTGAGGTTAAAAGAATACCCCCAACAATGGGTACCAATGAAGCCCAAATGCGCCATTCAAAAAATTTTCTCCAAACTAACCACTGAAGAATGACTGGGAAATACATATGAATCAGATAAGATACAAGCTATGTGAAATCTCATACTGATAAAGAAACTAAAGACAGGAACATATGGAGAGAAAACAATAAGCCAACCTGTTGTTGCAGGTGTGAAGGATTTTATTGTCTGCATAAATGAAACTGGGATATACCGCAAGCTCACATTTCCCAATACAATATTGATGCAAAACACAAATGACATTGGGAATATTCTCCTCCATCGATCTTCAGATTTTACCTCAATCAAGGGCTTAATCTTAAGCAATTTGATGGCAATATATGCTCCAACAGAAGAACATATGAAGTGGATGCATGACACTGTTAGAGGAAACTTGAAATCCAAATTCTGCAAAGAAAGTTTGTCATCATATTAGTAATGTTTTGATATTTTGATAGGCAATATTTTGATAACTTGAAATCCAATCTGAAACTTAGAAGAAAACTAGGCAATATTTTGCTATTTCTTCAGTTAGCAAATGCGAATACTTCTGTTGCAATTAGCAATGCTTGGATAGTGAACCAAGAAACAAAGGCAACGAAATGATGAACGAGCACAATGATAAAACAAATGTCACTCATATTGGATCCGTAAGTAATATAAAATAATGATCATAAGAATACAAATTTATTAATTTCTTCAAACACAAATTTCATAATGGCTGAATTATAGCTTCCTTATGACCCATCTAGTATTTGGGTCTTGGAACCAATAGAACATATTATTTTAATGACAATTATATCATCAGCAAGCCAACGTTCCAGTACAGCACTAATCAAAGACATGGCTTCTGAGACAAGATAAACACTAACATGCAACAAGAGTATTGGTTGTTAGGCCAATAATTATTTAATTAGTTGGCTTGATTTTCTGTCACGGTGGTTATGAAATATGATGATTGGTGACTAACACTGCCCAAGAAGTTGACTAGGGCCTTCAAAGTCTCGAAAGCAGGTAATGTCTAAGGCTAAGTAGGTCAGAATGTCAACATTAATAACCATCTATATATTGTTGCTACCATTTTACCAGTAAATACTTCATCATGTTAATTATTCTGCTAGTAGCTGTGTATACACAAAATGGTGCCTCGATTTTGTGCAAGAAACCTCCTTTTCCTTCTGACAACTTGGTTGTCTAAAATGTAGATTAGTAGTCCAAGGATTGCAATATCTTAGTATGGTTATCATCTAATAGCTAAGAAGCCGAAGGATCTCAAGCCACAATCCTGGGAATGCACTGTAAATGAATATAGCAGTCATCAAGAAACTCCCGATTCAAATCATCACTTTCAGCCCTCATTTTCATAATTTATGCCAGATTAATATTGAAAATACTATGAATTCTAGCTGAATGTTTGAAATCCATGATTTCTTTCCCTTTACCAGAAATTTAATTGCTTCTATGTAGTGAAGTTGTTTGCAGTATACAAAGAAAATAAGCTACACAGGAGGACAACTCTTGGCCAACTCTTTTAAGGATAGTGAAGGAAAGACACGCACCTACCATGAGCATAGGAATGCAGAGAGAACATATGCAAATCACATTCCCTCAAGAAAAAGGAAAAAGAAATCTAAGAACCCTATTAAGAACATAGCTCATCATCAAACTGCTAGTGATATCCAAGCAACAAGTCCACCTGCAGTAATCGATGTTACTCTACAAATCATTTAGCTCAACATTTTGGCATTCCTATTCTTCCATTCCACAAACCCTTCTGAAAATGAGGGAGAAAGATCTGCATCACACAGGGTACATGTGTTTGATGCGCAGAATAGAATAGGAAGGCCAAGAATCATAAAATTGGATTCAAAGAATTTCCATCAAAAAGGTTTCATTACTTTCCATATCAAATTTATCTTTATTACTCTGCTTAATATATTGATCCTCGTACCAACGATTAAAATTTCAACCTGCATTTGAACCTGTAAAACACCCATCTTGGACAAAGCAATTGCGTCACCTGCAATTCTAAGTTCTGAGGTGAGAAAAGAGAAATTTATTCATAAACCTAACAAAAGGCTTGGTAAACCAACTTCCTAATGTGGAAATATCACAAAAAGGCGCAGACTTTACCAATATGAGACGAGGGCTCGTCCAATAACATATTGACAAGGGAAATTCACATCAAACGCGTTAATCGTGGTTGAGACGATCAACACAAATCAATAAAAGGAAAACCAGCCAAACACCAAACAAGGTCATCGAACTCATGGCATCCAGGAAAAGCAAGGAAAGTAAAACATAAGAGAGGAGAAGGAAGAGAGTCAAATCGGCTTGACCTGAAAGATCCACTTATTCATGATGATGACGGTGACGTTGAAGCCCCACCACTGGAGGATGGACAGCACAGTCCGCAGCGTCTTCCCGTCCAACACCTTGCTCTCCTCCATCAAGATCCGCTTTTGATCCCCTCACCAACAACACTCTGGATCCACCACCGCCGCAGCCAAAGGCGAGATCAAGAAGGGACGCCCTGAGGCGATCAAAGGACGGCGATTTGGAAGGCACCTCGATCTGCGATCGGATGCGCAGTTCCTCGCACTTGGGAAGAACCCCAATCCTTATTTGAAGACAAGAGGAGAGAGAGAGATAGAGAGAGAGAGAGAGAGACGTGTGGGATTAAGAGGGAGGAGGAGGAGGAGGAGGAGGAGAAGAAGAAGAGGAAGAGGGACGCAGCTGTCGCGGGAGTTCGTTCTCCATGTGTTGTGCGCGGCTTCCATGGTGATGATGCTGTTATATTATGTCTCCTCCGACCCTTCCTCTCGAGAAACACCCTTCCCCACCCGCTAGGCCATGACTCGGGACCCACCTGCTTTGTTACTAAAGTTTCCGAACGGCCAACATAGGACCCGGGTCAGGAGGCAGGTAGACAGATGGGTGCTAGCAGAAGGGTGCTTCTCTTATTAACGAAATACAGCGCTGAGAAACTGCAGCAGGAAGGAATGGAAAGAATAAGAACTATTAATGGGGGCTTCTTCTGGCTTCAGTTTTTTATTTTTCTTCTTATTCTTTCATTACAAAATTTATTATGGGGAAAATGGTTTTGTTGCGATTTTGTTTTTGTTTCAAAATCTCTGAAAAAATCGAAAAAATCATTTCCAGAAACTGTAGGAAATCAGCAATTGCCAAAGGCCATCATATCTTGATTCAGTTTTGTTAACATTATTTAAGCTCTATTTTTCATTAACTAAAACTAATAAAGATTGCAGGTGTTTTTGGAGGGGGATGACAACTGTGGAGAGAATTGATGGAGTCGCTTAAGATTCCATCAGGATCCCGACTGTGTGGGCAGCACTGTGGTTGAAGCTCCTCGCATGGTGTGTGTGCGCGCGCGCCATCCGCCTTGCCTTATTATTTTTCTCTCGTCACAGCTGCCTCACATTCCACGAGAAACATGGAATTCATGGCTATGAGCATCTCTAGAAGAAACCATGGCTGAATGCCGTGCAAGGGCTGCAACAAGTTGGTGGAGTTTGGCGCAAGTGCAACCATTCCTTGGCCAAGGAGGCAATCCAACCTCTCCATCTTCTTAGGCTTCCAAGCACCACAAATGAGAGTTGAAAATGTTCAAGGTTGAAGCTTGATTGATGGAGACATCACTTGGCCACACCAATACCCCATTAATGGCTTCACCATGCTGTCTCACATCAGGAAATGAGCTGTTAACTACGCCCTCATTTACAGAATTCATTAGACTTGTAAAAGAGTAAGCCAGAAGCATAATTGAGTGGTGAAGAAGAAAAGTGGTGCTGGCTGTAACACTGCATGCAGAATTGGGTCAACTGGAGCTTGGAAAACTGATTCATTTCAACTACTGCTGAAGCCTCATTTGCAGAATTAAATTGGGTTTGTGAAAGAGAAGCCGCTGAAGTCGAGGAAGGCTAGTCAAGGAAGAAGCATAGTTTTTGTTGTTTCAAGTAAAGAGACATCATTGAATAAAAAACACTGAACAAGAGGGTTGGACGAGCTCTCCAATCGTCCAGTCGATGGGGTCTTGCTCGAGTGACCTGAGAATAAAACTGATGCAGAACACTTGAAGGTTAGTCTTTATGAATCTGAAATAATAGCTTGCAGCTGCAAGAAGATTGCTGGGAGCCATTGACAATGTGGACGATGGCTTGTGCGTCAGTTGTTTGAATCACAAAGTTTCTCTATCTCTCGGGTTCAGCATGTTTAAGTGTTTTGAGTCAACATGAACTTATATAAATAAGACTAATACATGTGGATATGAGAACCCTAAGCAGCTGCGGAGCTTCTTCTGTTGATCCGGTCACTCCAGAACCTCTTCCAGAGGTGGAATCTTTTGTTCTCTTTCTAAGAGTTGTTTCCATGATCTCACGAGCCCAAAAAGACATCTGATCATGGCTATTGTATCCAGTTCCTATTGTGGCTAATCCCTTTTCTGGTTTTAGTAGCTCTAAGAATTCCTCCTGCGGATTCAGCGAGCAAAGCTGAGATTTTCACTGGCGACAGCGCTTAAAAATGGGATCTTGGAACTGGATCCCCCTGTTCTGGAAAGGAGACAAGGTTTCCTCTCGTGGCTTCCACTCTTCCTCCACCGCGGAAGAGGTCACTGAAGGCATCGACGCCAGCCAACTCACTGCCATTGTCACCGGTACTTCCCTGCTCGTTTGTCGATCTGGGGTTTTGTTCTATGGATCGTTTTCTATCCTTGGAAGAGTGTTTTATGTTGTTGGCGTGTTGGTCATTGGCAGGGGCAACTAGTGGAATTGGGAAGGAAACCGCAAGGGTTCTGGCACTGAGAGGCGCCACCGTCGTCATCCCCTGCCGGTCGCTGGAAAGCGGCGGAAAGGTGAAAGAAAGCATTTTGGAGCAGAATGCGGATGCCAAGATCCATGTTATGGAGATGGATTTGAGCTCCCTCGATTCGGTGGAGTCCTTTGCTCGATCGTTTAATTCATCGTACGAGCGCCTAAACATTCTCATGTAAGCGTCACAATGCTCTTGTAGCATTCAAGATTCTAATTTTCCTTCCTCTTATTCTTTTTGTGGTAAGCTAATTGTGTGCTCTGAAACATTTGGCAAAATGCACATTATTTGAGCAGCAACAATGCAGGGATTATGGCCTGTCCCTTCCAGCTATCCAAAGATGGAATAGAGATGCAGTTTGCTACGAATCACCTTGGTGAGAACAATCATCTTTAGAATATAAATTCACTAAAATGTTATCCCCTGTTGAACTTAATCCAGGAAAGTTCCAATCTTGGTGAATTCGAGCAGCCAGATGAGACACCAGATATAGTAACGAAAACTAGATCATGCACTTATTCAATGCCAAAAAATTCATTAGTAATCTCGTACTTGAAATTTAATAGGTTTATTGCTGTGTTAAAATGCAGGACATTTTTTACTTACTAATCTGTTGATGAACAAGATGATAGTTACTGCCGAAGAAACAGGAATACAGGGAAGGATTGTTAGTGTTTCGTCTTTGGGTCATTCAAGCAAATTTGATGAATCTTGGTTTAATTTGGAGAAGATAAATGATCAATCTAAGTAAGAAGTAGCCTCAGAATTCATCCTAGATTTTAGTTTAAGAATATTCTGAAGTTTAACTGAGAGTGAAGTTATTTTCTTTTTGCTATTATATTCTGGAACCATTGATGAAGAGATTTGCTTCTTGCCATCTGTCAGCTATGGACCTTTTGCTGCTTATTCTCATTCTAAGCTGGCAAATATATGGCATGCAAATGAGCTTTCTCGGCGTTTACAGGTATATCTTTAGCCTATCCAGATTTACCTTGTGTTATTTGATGACTAGATTGTGAAGATAGAAAAAATTAGACTTGAAGATTAAATCCTTATTCCTATGTATTGATCATGAAAAGTTTTCAATGTTAGTTTTAGACAAGGCAAATTATTTTTTGCATTTTCATTATTTTGTAGGCCAAGTATAGTTTGAAATCTTCGATCAAGAAGTATCTATTCTTGGTATTCGGTGATTAACTGAGTCAAATTAGCACTTATCAACCTTTCTTTGCCTTTTCTGACCTTTATCATGGAGGACTTACACCCTCAACTGGCACTAGAAATGGGTTCTAAATTGATCTAGTGGTAGACCAACTATTCATTGTCTTACATTTTAAGTTTTGTGTGATGCACAGATTTTATCATGAATATTAAGAAAGTTGTGAAGGAAAGAAACAAAACTGATTCTTCTCAGGCATTTTGACCATTGACGATGACTCAACCTTGTGAATTTTCTTCGGATTGAACAATTCTGCTTCTTTGACTTCGTTGATACATGATGCAGTATTTGTTTAAACAGCATATCCGTCATACTTTCTTTCACACATCTCATTGTTAAGAATGCTTAATGCTAATTAGGAAGTTAGCCTCCTGAGCTGATTTTAAATTATGTTGGATTATATACACTGGTACTGCTACTTGATTCGTGCTGTATACTACTGCAACTATACTGTGCCGGCAGGGGTTGGCACATGGAGGGCACGCACAAATTCTAATATCAGACATCATCTTCACTTGGTAGAGGTCAATTAATACCCATGTGGATCACATATCCACATGGCAGGCATGTATGACTCTTCAAATTGCAGAAGACATTCACTTAAGACTTAAGTTTGGAGTGATCTTAATGGAGGAAACATATTGTCAAAGACCTCCAAATAATCTTATGGTCTACTAATTAACTTGTGGAGTTAAAGGTCATGCTGCTTATGCATCCTATTTGTGCAATAGAAAAGCAACCTGTTGCCAAAGAGGAATTTCTGGTGTGGTTTGAGATGGAAGTCAATATTGTACGTAAAGAAAATAATTGTTTATATTTGATAGAACAGCATTCCTTGTATCAGCCAAAAGACTTCCTTGCCGTTAATTTCTTTCATGTGTGGTTTTAATTTGATTTGCAACTTGTCCTGCTGTCTTAGTGCAAAATAGTCTCAGGTGAAGGATTTGAAGTCTAATATTAAGCAATAAGTGCACACAATCTATCAATCTCTTGATTGTTGTATCTGTAATGGTCAGACTAATAACATATATAAGGACCCATGAAAAATGAGAACCACATTTCTTAAAGGGTACTTCTAAATTGATGTATTGACCTTTTTGCATTGTTTACTTTTCTGCATTTCTTGTCCATGTAAAAGCTTATGGGGAATTTGCTGCTAGTATAGGAAAAGGGCTGCAACATAACAGCAAATTCTCTTCATCCTGGAGCAATCCATACTAATTTGTGCCGCTATCTAAATATTAGCTGTAAGTGATTACCTTTCACTTACTTTTTATCGCAAAAACTCAACTATAATGAATTCTCTGTTGTATCAGCATTTATACTGGATGCCATTGCTGTTGCGACGAAACCTTTCTTAAAATCCATACCCCAGGTATGCCCAGTTTCTCTAAGTTCTCTCTACATGTCTGCAAATTGTATTCAAATCCAATCTTAATCAGATTTAGAAGCTCTCTGATCCTAGTTCATCATCTAGTACCCACAATACATGTGCTTCGAACTGCAGGGTGCATCTACTACCTGCTATCTTGCTCTACATCCTGACATGAAAGATGTAACTGGAAAATATTCTGGGGATTGCAATGAGACATTGCCTTCTGCTGTTGCAAGAGACGAGGAATTAAGCATCAAGTGCTGGGAATTCAGCCAACAACTCCTAAACAATTTAAGAGGGCCAATTGTTGTACATTAAAGGAGTGTTTTCTTGTCCAATGTATCTTCTGGAAATGAACTTTAGCTACAACTTTGAATTTACTTCATCCAAATCACTCATCATTTTGTTTAGCTCAGTCAAAACTTCTGCTTTGGATAAGTTGGTGGACAGAAAAAGTAGGTTTTACTGGGAAAAGAGGAAGACAACCAATCAAGCGTTGGTGCGAATCTGAAAGCATGATAAGCGGTAGATCATGCACGTGGTTGCATGTGGTCCAAGTTGAACCAAACCACCTACCTTGATGGGTTCGGTGAACCGAGTCGGTGTTGAACCTTCGGTTCGATCACCACTCACGCACAAAAATATCCTCCGGCTGAACTAAAACCACGGACCAGCCGCCACCCAGTCTCCGTTCCTCTTCGTCTCCGGTCTTCTCCCTTACCTGCGCTACGTCCCGATCTCCAGCTCATCTACCTTTTGAAGCGCAGCAGAGTCCGTCGCCTCCCTATGTACACGACTCTCAACTGGAGTCGGAGAGCCGTTTCTTCGCTCGGTCATTTCGTCTAACATCTTGTCTGCATCGGAGAAGCCCCCTCAAGATGATGGGTGTTTCTGCCGCCTCGCCCTCTTCTTTTTTCCTTCCCCACGCTCGATCTCATCTGGGGCCCTCTCGTTTCACTTCTCTCCCAGTTTTGATCCCCGCCTCCAAAAAGAGGCCTGGTTTTTGCTGCGCCACGAAACAGCAGCAGCAGACAGGGGCTGCCAAGAAGAAGGCCGGGAGGAGGAAGGCTCCGGAGAGGCCGCCGGTGGATGACGGGGGAAGACTGGTGGATGTGGTCCCCGGCCCTCAGAATCGCCGGAGTCATTCTTCTCCGCTGCCCAAGCCTCCAGCCGGCTTTGTGCTTGACGACCATGGCAGGGTCCTGCTGGCCTCTTCGAAGCGGATAGTGACTATTGTACGTCGACGGACTCTCCTTCCCTCTTTTATTTTTTATTTTGTTACTTGTGCTCTCTGAAGTGTGCTGCGTTTCTATTGTTGCAAGAATTGTGCTTATTCTTGGATAGAGAACTCTTGAAGCTTTAGATTGGACTAGCATTTTAGATTTCGTTGACTAGAAAAATCAAGGAAGGGGTGCCATGAGGAAAAAGTGAAGACAAGGTGAACGGAGAAAAGATTTTTGGTTAGTAAGATGGCATCAAAATTTTCTTTTGATCTAGTAGAGTTTCTGGTGCCCAAGTGATGGAAGTCAATACTGTAGAAAAGGTTGTGTTTGCTTGGTGGATCACTGAATTTAAGATTATGAACTCTCTTTGTCACTGTTATTATGCTTACCAAAAAAACACTTTGTTGGTTAGCATATATCGAGTTGGACCACCCTCAAAATTTGTTGAAGTCAGATCATGCTTCTATTTTGATGTTAACAAATATATCCTAATTAATCATTTGATGCTTTTCCATGAAATTGCAAAGCAATCAACTCTGTGAGAAGAAATACAAGGTGTGAAACAAGGGAATAAAAGTAACAGAATAAGGTATAACATTCATGCAATTGTTACAAACTGGTCATTTTGCCTCCTTAACATATATTTTTTTTTCCTTAGGTCAGCCTCCATATTTATCTCCAATCATTTTGACATGCTGCCTGATTAAATTTCAGGCTCTTTTGCTTGTAATGATATAAAAAACTACTTCTCTTTCTTTTGTAACTTTCAAGCTTAATTAATAATTTTTCAAATTAAAATTTCACTGTACTTTCTCTTCAATGAGTACAATGCTGAGTAATTGTGTTGCAGATGGATGCTACAAACAATCTGCCCCTAGAATGTGTTATTAGGCGAGTCTTCCAAAGTTCTGAAGGGGACGAATGCATGCTACTCTGCCCAGTTGATCCGTAAGTATGTTCTATAAGCTTCAAATTTTTTTTTTTTTTGGAAGCATGGCTCATTAAAAGTTTTACTTCCTTTCAGGCCTGTGCAAATACTGAAGAGCACAAACTTCGACGGATGGTCAGCTGTATGATTTTCCTCTTATCTAAATCAGAATTTTGGATCACAACATCTTAGAATTTAAATTCAATAAAATTTGGAACAAAAAAAAGATATTTTAGCTTGTGTGTATTCATCAAAAAATGGTTTTGTCACTTGTCTACGACTTCGATCTTGCAGTGAGCACATGATGACCAGCTTTTAAATGACTGAGTAGGATCTAAATTTTATGTTTGAATATTCATGATATAAAATCCACTTTATACTTAGCATTAGTGCTTGTTTTCTACAGGGGTGGTATGGGTTTCTGATAGCTGATCAACTACTAGTTGAGTGTAGTAAAGGAATCTCTCATTCACATGTTTGACCTTCCCTTTTTTGACACTAACTAATATAATAATTTATATTTTTTTCCATATCTTAGAGTATCATGTTTGATAAAAATTTCTAACCATACTTGTTACTTTGCATGTTTGCATGCGCATAAAAGATGGAGCTTGCTCTACATATTTGTACACAGTGCAGTGAACTGGTGAAGTTCATTGATTTGTCTGACTGTGTAATATAAATTCTTTTTGTTTTACTTCACTATGCATTAATGTGTTTCTTTGTACTGGTAGCCAACTGTGAACATGCTTACAATATATATGTGATATCATTGCACCATCTACAACTTATTGAAGTTTTCATCTATACATGTATAATCTAACAATACGAATAATTTGTTTTTTACAGGTTGATGATGAGGAAATTGAAGCTATCATACCTGCTGCTGCATATGCCTTGGCCAAAATTCATATGCATCTTGTAGCTAGTGGGTAGGGAAAAACTGGCCCCTTCTGCCAATTTTATCTCTGATTCGAGAGCATTGTTGTGCAAAGCTTTTATGCAACTATTTTATTGTGTTTATAAATTGATGGTTAGACAAAGTTTTTTTTTCTGAACTTATATGATTTTTAAATTTAATTGGTCTCTTCTTTTTTCTCTGTTAGATTTTGTTACACAGCACGAGGTGGCTTTTGCTATTCTGACGAAGACATACTTGAATTTCACACTGGTAACTTTCCCTTTACATTCATGAATATCAAGATAAATGCTTATGGTGATCTGATAATAAGCAGGACAAAATAGTGTCATCTAGAGCTACAAGATCTTTCTGCACTCTCAAGTTTTTTCTGGATTTGACAAGTCAAGATGGCCACAAAATTTCTGTCGGATGAGTCCTTTAATCTGATCACCAAACCAGGAGTTTGTCTAGTTAGATGTCAACTTCCCCAAGTCGTCCTACTTGATCATTGCTTCTTCTTTTTGTGTTATAATACTATATTTTAGTTTTATTTATTTTAATGCTAGATTTCTTTCTTAAGGACTTCTCCATTTAAAGTTGTCAGACATATGCCAACTTCCCTAGCTCACTCCATTTAGTCATGGCATATACATTGTGGTATTTAATCCTAGTGAACTATCTTAATGGCTTCTCCACTATAAATTGCCAAATAGATGTAAGCTTCCCCAGCTTACTCCATTTAGTCATGCATATACTTTGTATTTTTAATCCTAGGATACTATCTTATAAATTTTTCGCTTATAAGTTAATTCTTATGACAAAGTTGGTAGTTATTATTTTTTTCTTTTCTCTCATTGAAAATCTTCTTTTCTCTGTTCCAACCAACTATCAATTCTAGAATATTTTCTTCTTTGCCCATCCATGCTCTTATTCTACATCTGATTGATACTAGAGCTCCTGTCCTGCATCACTTGTAGTTGCTCTTTCTATAACCATACACTTAGGATGCCTCATGTGCCAATAATCTGGATTTGCTTCCCTTCTTTTAGTTTCTTTTCTCAGATGATCAAAACCAAATATTTAAAAAAGAGTAATCATGTTTTCAGTGTATTGTGTGTCAGATGATCATGATAGGAAGTTCATGATATATAAAATATCCAATTGATGTTTGTGATTTGATTTGCGTATCATATTTTATTTACTCATAGTTTTTGATCTAATAAATGGTTCATGATGTTGGACTTGCAAGTTTGCAAATTGGCATTTAGGACTGTTACTTTGAGAAAGAAGGAATTGTGGTTTTTTGCTCTCTTGCAACCACACATCTTTGACTTGTGTTGGAAAATTTATCTCAACTCTTGTATGCTGTTAATTCTTGTTGTTTACTGTATGCCCCTTGAGTTACAGTTCCTAAACAGTAACATTTATGAGTCTTACAGATGATGGTGAAGCTATTGAGGGTTTTCCTACTGAAGCTGTAAAGATAACTTGCTTCAACTTGGTAACTCTAGTCCTCCTGATGCTTTTAATTACTATCTGATGAGAATGCTTGCAGGAACAAGTTAGTTTAATGCTTTAGCATTTGTATATCTTTCTAAAAGAAATTTGTTTAACTAGATGGAACCAAGTCATGGTCTATTTGGCTGCATGAGGTCGATTTTTTCTTTAGTTTCACTTAGCTTATAATAGGTGCATGCAATGCGTGGGACAAAGCCTTTTTTACTTCAGGGTATTTTTGAAACATAGTTTGGAGGGGGAGGGGAGTAGGGAGCAAGTATTGAGACAAAGGTGAATATAGCTGGGAGAAAGACCTTGAGAATCTTTGATAAGTTCTTTAGCTTTCGTGTTGGTGAGAATTAAAATAACAAATTTAAATGTGGATTAACCACATTAGGGTATATGAGCTAGCTGTAAGGCTTAGAATATAATTAATTACTTGTTTGCTTCTGTCCTCCAACACTACAGTTGTCTCCGTTCCTCTATTTTTCTGTGATTTTAACTATGCTGCTTTGTACATTTGAAAGTTAGTCCTAATGATCTTGCTTTGGCATCTCTGCTTATTCTTTACTTGGAAAATGGTCAACTCGCTGCTCCTCAATTATTCCTTTTCACTGTTGGCTATTATAATCAAATATGTTAATGTTTATCCTGCAAGATCAATATTACTAGTCCTGATAGCAATCTTTAACATCCTAATCATTTATTGTATTCATCAAACTTGCAGGATGGAACACATTATATGATCTATACACCATCTGATCCACTTCTATTTGTTGCTGTGAGGGTGTGTTATCTGGTTTTTCTATATAATCAAGGAGATTCTTTACCGACGTTTTTGATCATCTTGTTTTTGTGCAGGACAAAAATGGTGTTCTGCAAATTGCTGATGATGTAAGCAAGTCATCTTTTGTTTTCTTTGTTTAAAGGCTGTAGATATGGAATGCTATTTAGCCATCAGTTATTGATGATTCCCTTGTTTCAGTGAATTTTCTGACAGTTGATTAATGGTCTTCAATGATTATTCTTAATATTTCTCTCTCTGCATTTTATCTGGTTAGCTTGAACTTTTTTTTGGCATACCTCCTGCAAAATCTGTTCAAATAAAAACAAATAAAGTTGTTACATTAAGGAGCTTCTTGTTGATTTTCTATTTTTGTATGTTTACCATCTGCATATATCTAGATGTCTATTCATTCACTTGATAAATATAGTTCTAAATCTAGTTTCATATTGTTTCTACAAAATTAATCTTCTATTGGTTTTTGTGGGGCTGTTAATTAGGATGGTAAGTTCCTTTTCTGTACTGTGTTTATTTTCCATGAATTGCATTAATTTTAATAATTAAAATTAGATTAGATTCATGGAATTTGATTTCCCGATATGCTCTTAAATATTGGATAATACATGTATTTCATATTTTATTAGAAGGAACTTGCCCTTCTCTACATCTAACTTGCTTTCTGGGTAACAGGATCTCTTGGAGGACCCTGCTATCATCAGTGCCATTGACGAGGAGACAGAATTTAATGCTCTTGTGGTACGTCTGATTTCCTCTTCAATCTCAGTGTGTTGTATGGTTCCAGTGTCACAAAAAAGAACAACCTATCCAATACACCGGCCACTATGGGCTGATGTAGTTTTTACAAGTGTCTTCCATTGATCCGGCTAACTGCCTACCTATCGAGCCAAATCGATTCAGGTAGTCAACATAGCCTCCAAAAAGGTGGCTTCGGCTGTTCATGCTTTGCTCCTTGATCATGTTCTCAATTAAGTAGAAAACTCAAACACATTAGTTACCTAATATGGCACTTAAATGCAAGTACTGATGTTTAAACAGTTTTTTCAATGCTCATTCTGAACTTCCTCTGCTTTCTTGAACCGTTTGATTGGTTTTACGAAGCCCAAATGGATGGTTCTCAACTCCAAGTAAATAAAAGTTTTCTGCATCACACAGTCAACATAACCCCTCTGTAACTTTGCAGGAGGAGGAGGCTGCTCTTCTTGAATCGTTGTTGGGTGAATGATGGCACCACATTCTGCATTTGTTATCATGATATGAAATGTCATCAGGAACGCAAAATATGATCTGTAAATTATGTGCGCTACAATTGCATATGCCTAGGAAATTTAATCATGTTCTCTTTTCCTTGTTACCATTTGTGCTATATTTTTTTCTTCATGTAAAGCTAACAATTTTTACGCCATTTCTCGGATAGACATTATTGCATCAATCAAAAGCTTGTCATTCCTGTCAGTGAATACACAAATGTGCTTCTCTCTGCAAATCATACTACCTGGAAAGATTTGTGATGATGGGAAGACTATTGATGTGTGGCAATGTGCTTGTGATGCATGAATCAAACAAATTATATATTGTAACACTAGCAAAATTTTCCTTGTTCACCTGAAGATGCCATGATTTCCTATGTATTTCTCCAGGAACACAAGTTTTTTTACATAATGCATAAGCCTAAAAAAATCCCCTTATTTATATACCCTTGCAACCCCCTTACATTCCATTTTACTGTGTTAGGATTGTGCAGTTGCAGTTGGAGCCTATTTAAGCCCAGGTTGAGGCAAGACGGGTCCGATGAGGCAATGCGGGCTTCGACTCGATCGCGAATCATCTCAACGACGAGAAAAGCGTCGATGCCGTTGGCCGCCTCTCTCCCTTCCTCCTTCTTCCGCAGCTGCTCCTTTCTCTCCGGGTTTAAGCCTAAAACCCACACTTTGCTCCCTCTCCCCTGCTATGCCCTCGATTGCCTCCCCGCGCATTGTCTATGCACTCGCCTTTCTTTGAGGCCATTTTTCAAACACCTTCGGCACCAGTCCCTCCGCCGCTCCCTGGCCGCCTCTCTCTCCACCGCCGCTGCCGCCGCCGCCGTGTCACCTAACCCTGGCGCCGCCGCCTCCAGGATGTCCAAGAAGGCCCGCCGCGAGTCCCCCGAGGGCCTCCTCCGCCACCAACTCGGCTTGTGCTCCCAGAGCGGGGACTTCGCCCGGGCCCTCCACCTCTACGACGACGCCCGCGCTGCCGCCACTTCCCTCTCCGTCCACCACTTCAACATCCTCCTCTACCTCTGCTCCTCCTCCGCCGACCCCGTCGGCCTCGAGCGCGGCTTCCAGATCTACCGCCAGATGGGTCTCGACGGCGTTGCCCCGAATGAGGCCACCTTCACTAGCGTGGCCCGCCTTGCCGCCGCCAAGGAGGACCCGGACCTCGCCTTCGACCTCGTCAAGCAGATGTCTTCCGCCGGGATCCCGCCAAAGTTGAGGTCTTTCGGACCCGCGCTGTTTGGGTTCTGCAAGAAGGGAGACGTCCAGAAGGCCCATGAGGTGGAGGCTTACATGGCCTCCTCTGGCATTGAGCCCGACGAAGCCGAGCTTGCCGCACTCCTCGAACTTAATGTTCGTAAAGGTAGGGGAGACAGTGTGTATCGCCTGCTCCATCGGATGCGGGTTACTGTGAGGCGGGTGTCTGAGTCGACAGCGGAGATAATAGAGAATTGGTTTGGTTCAGAGGTGGCGGAGGAGGTTGGGTTGGAGAAATGGGACGTAAGGAAGGTGAAGGAAGGGGTGGTCAAGGGAGGTGGTGGCTGGCATGGGCAGGGGTGGTTGGGGAGGGGACGGTGGAATGTGGGAAGGACCGAGATGGATGGGAGTGGTGTGTGCCGGCAGTGTGGGGAGAAGCTAACGTGCATAGATATTGATCCAGTGGAGACTGAGGATTTTGCAAATTCACTGGCAAAGTTGGCTTCCCAGAGAGAAGTCAGGGCAAACTTTACGGGATTCAAGGTCAGTGTTTATTGTATTGAAATATATATGTGATAACTATATGCTTAATTTCAATGTTCATATAATTGTCAGAATAACCAAATATAATTATTGGAATACCTCACTAGTACATGATTGTTCTTGAACTTAAATCTGATGAATAGGAAAACTTTCTCGAAAAACTGTAATACGGTGTGTTGGTAAATGCATCCAGTTTTTATCACATAATTTTATAATCTTTTCAGTAGAATATTGTAGTAAAGATGCATGATCTTTTAGATTGGATGTTATCACTTAAAACACTGTCAATAGAGATCGGAAAAGTTGCAATCTCTGTGTCCTGATGTGTTAAAGACAAATAAGTGGACTAGGAAAAACAATGTCTTCTGCAGTTCTTTATAGATGTCTACTGTTGACAGCCGAACAATGTTCTTTCTTAAGGCTATTATTTTTTTATTCTTAGAACTACCTTTTTACCCATGCTTTTTAAATAGAATAGCATCCCCTTTGTGTCAGGGATAAGAGTGCATAGATAGAATTCCACATTATCATTTAGATGTTATGTATAAACTGGCAAATATTAAGTTTGTCAAATACTTGAGACAACTTTTCATTAATTGCATCTAATGGTTAGGCCTCAATTACATATTCATTAATTGAGAATCTGATTCTGAAAGTACTAGATAGTAAGAAAAATCAAGGTGATAGCTATAGTTTTTTATGTGAAGCTTTAATAAATATATCACTCATTGGTCTAAATATGCAAGAAAATGTGTATAATAATGGATATTTAGACAAGCAACTTTCTTATATTTATATAATAAGCAACGAGGCATAAGATTCCCTCTTATTCCACCTTCATAGCCTGATTGCTGAAAGTTGATGGCAATAAGGCCTATGAAGAAATGGAAATGACTTTTGTACTTCTTTTTCTTGTCTTAAAAACATAAGCATGACACGAAGTTGTCACCTAAATTCAGGATTGGCTTGATCGTCATGGACCATTTGATGCTGTTTTAGATGCTGCAAATATTGGCCTGAACAATCAACAAGTATTTAGTTTTTTCCAGGTAAGTAGTTATTCTCTTGTTTTCTTTAGTGCTCTAATCCTGATGCCTTTTGGATAGCTATATATATTTTTGTGGAAGACGTCATCTAATGATCTCTCTTGCAGGTAAATTCTGTTGTGAATGGAATCCGTCAAATGAGTCCCTCAAAGAAATTGCCTCTTATTATTTTGCATAGCCACCGCTTGAAATATGGTCCTGCTGATAAACCAAATAACAAGAGACTGTTGGAAAGCTGGCGGAGGGCTGGTGTGTTATATGCTACCCCTCCTGGATCAAATGATGACTGGTATCTGTTCCTTCTTTTTTTGACACTTGATTTAACTAATGATATTGTATTACACAGAACTAAGTGAAAGGAAAAGATCCATGCACCCAACTCCAAATAGTTGGGATGTTATAGCTTACTGTTGTTATCTTGTTTATATTTTCCCTTTTCTGGAAATAGCTCAATAATGTTTTTGTGGTACTGTTTAATAGAGGACATCTGTTTCATAATCCAACCATCAATATTTGTGAATTGAAATTGACATAGATGACAGACATATATTATATTTTTGTAGCCTTCTTTTAATTGTGCATTTTTCAAGGATGATACTTGAGAATATATTTACCTGACAACACCAGGTAGGTACATGGTTAAGGGAAAACATGCTCTTTTCTTTGTTCCTAGGTGAAAAGCAACTAATAGATAATATAGCATGGGACTTCAGTTAGCATTCTTACAAGTGTTTTTAAGAAAAAATAAAGTGGAAAAAAAGCCCTAGCCAATTGTGTTGGTTGTGCTACTTTTATTAAGGCTTTTGAGAGACCAGAAATCAATCTGTATAGAAGATTGATTCAGAGCTAACACTTCATGTTTCTTTATGTTGATTTATTATCCTCTCCTTCCTGAGTTTGAATTTTAAGCACTGGAATCATAAAACTGGCATTGTTAACTCAAACCACTTCAAATTAAGGCTGTGCATGTCAATATTTTATGCAGGTTTGAACATTGGGATAAATCATTGAAAATGTGTGAGTTACTAATAATACCAAATATTACCTTATAGCTTATTTACTGCAATTTAGGATATCATTAACTTAGTGGCCCCTGCCCAAGTATCATGAATCTGTGATGCTTTTGGTGCCTATCCTCTTCTAACTAGGCTAAACTTTCTTTCTGATAGAAATGTTCTTTGAAACAATTTCCCTATGTTTGTTTGAGGCTCTTAGAAGTAGTTTTTGACCCTTAAGATCCTTTCCTAGTGAGTAACATTTAGTCCTGTATTTGGGATATCTAATCTTTTTCAGTACACATCCTTCAAAATCAATGAGTTCTTTGCTGTCTAACCTGAACATAATCTGAAGCCATTTACCTTTAATTGAATGCTTCAACAGAGCATGGGGAAGTTAGATGGCCTTTCACCTCTAGGATCTCTCTCCCTTGTTGCCATCTGTTATCATCAAGAACTTTTCTAGTTAGGCAGCTTAATGGAATTTCAGAAGAGCAGAACATGTGATACTTTGTGAAGTTAATGTATCTTGGACCTTGGTGAGCTAAATAAGATAAATAGTTTGCTGGTTGTAGCTTTTCGCATTAGCACATTTTGTGAAATACCATATCTGCTGGTTCTTAAATTTTGGTGATGCAAATTTCTTTAAAGACATGTTCAATTTTTTCCTTTTTGCTTCTCTGTTTGTTGGTATTGGGCATTTGTCTTTAGTAAAGGGAGTGTTGTAAATTAGCTGCCATGACTTTCAGCTGATTAAATATATTATGCTTCTGGAAATTTTCTAATTTGTTACACCATAATATCTGCAAATTACCTGCCGCTTACATTCTAGCTTTCTATGAACATTGTTTTTCTTTCTTAATCCACTGTATGCTACCTGCATAGCTGTTACACAGTACATTTTCATATCTGATATCAAGCTTTGGTTTCATGTCATTACAGGTATTGGCTGTATGCAGCTGTCAGATGTAGATCTTTGCTTGTCACGAATGATGAGATGAGAGACCACTTATTCGAACTACTAGGAACTGGCTTCTTCCCAAGATGGAAAGAGAAGCATCAGGTTTGTTTATGCTTCTTTTTGCTGTACTATCTTGTCCACAGAAAATCAGAACAAGTATTTGCCATTTCTTCAGTGATACTATGCGAATATGATATGTATATTTAGTGAACAGAAATTTTATCCACACATTGCATACCGAAGCTAGTTCCATGGTTTTGCATGCCTGTGGTTTGTTGGTGTAGTTCGTCACCCTTAGGGAAACTTTACCCCTTAGTACATGGGTGAGCAAGATTTTTCATGGTAATTTCCAGTGTCTTTTGTGTTGCTTGATGTTCTAGATCGATCATTTTTCGACTTTTGTTATGCCTACCAAGCTTTTATTGTGGTCCAGGCTGCTGCTACCACTTGTTT